CTTCCTGTCCTTTGCTCCCCGGGCTAATCAGACGGATCCCAATCTGGCTTACGTCTCAGCTTCTGGTTTCAACTTTTCGCCCCCTATTCCCGGGCTAACTTGAGAACCCCAAAGTGGCTTTCGTTTCCGCCTTGGCCTGCCCCCCACGGCTTCAATTTCCCTAACATTTTTCTCTACCCGGTATGTTTCCCCAAGCTTTCTTCCAACAATACTCCTCCCTCATTTCTCCTGGCCTCTCCCCACAGTCCGCGTCCGAGTCTGTTTGTTCTAGCTTTCACTTTCGCTTTCGACCTTAGAGATTTCTCCCAGCTTCCCCCCGTAGTCCGTATCCGAGTCTATGCCTAGGCTTTCAATAGCTTCTTCCGGCACCCTTTTCGTCCGGCTTTTCCCTAGGCTGTTTGCTAGTCTCTCTCTCCGGTATTTTCCCAATTCTTCCCGTTTCTTCCCTCCTAAGTTTCATATCCGTCCTAGGTTTCCTATCCGAGCTAGGTTTCCTATCCGAGTCATGGCACCATTATGTCGCTCCCCCTCTTCGTGGAGGAACGACACAGGACCCTGCGCTGTTCTTTCGTCTGCTCGGCCCTCCCCGGGTTTGCTGCTGGTTCTTCCCGGGTTGGCTACTATCCCTTCCACCTCCGTGGAAGGGCAGTTCCCCCTGGCCGCATTCCCCACTTCCGCAGGGGAGCGGCACTCCGCCGGCCGGCTTTCTCGGGGGCTGCACGGGTTCCCTTAGATGTTCCCCATAGATGTTCCTGGTGCATGCCGTCTCTCTCCTCCTTTATAGTCCTCCTCCGCCAATCCCAACTCGGCTGAGTACGCTGCTCTCCAATCAGGAGCAAGTCCTACAGTTAATTGGTTGAACTGGAGGCAGCTGTGCGGAAGCTGTTTACTTCTCTCCCAGCGCCATATTGTGGGAGAGCAGATGCATAGAATAAGTCCTAATTCGAGTAACTTAGTCTAGTCCGGATTGCTCCCCACACGCCGGATTCTGTCCCGGTTGCCCCTCTTCCAGGCCAGCTCTCTGCTGTGGCCCGGGAGTGCAGTGGAGGATGGCCCAGGTGCTTGGGCCCTGCACCCCATGGGAGACCAGGAAAAGCACCTGGCTCCTGGCTCCTGCCATCGGATCAGCGCGGTGCGCCAGCCGCAGCGCACTGGCCGCGGCGGCCATTGGAGGGTGAACCAACGGCAAAGGAAGACCTTTCTCTCTGTCTCTCTCTCTCACTGTCCACTCTGCCTGTAAAAAAAAAAAAAAAAAGATGAGACAAAATAACTCTTGTTTAAAAGCAAGTAGGGTCACTAGAGTCCAAAATTATTCAGTGGTGCTGTAGACTGACTTGTATCTCATTGAAGTCCTAACCTCAGTAGTTTAGAATGTGACTGCAGGGGGCCAGCGCTGTGGCCCAGGAGGTTAATCCTCCGCCTGCAGCGCTGGCATCCCATATGGGCGCTGGTTCTAGTTCCAGCTGCTCCACTTCCGATCCAGCTATCTGCTATGGCCTGGGAAAGCAGCAGAGGATGGCCCAAGTCCTTGAGCCCCTGCATCCGCATGGGAGACCAGGAAGAAGCACCTGGCTCCTTGCTTCGGATCAGCGCAGCTCTGGCCATCGCTGCCGTTTGGGGAGTGAACCAGCAGATGGAAGACCTTTCTCTCTGTCTCTCCCTCTCACTGTCTATAACTCTACCTGTCAAATAAATGAAATAAAATATTAAAAAAAAAAAAAAAAGAATGTGACTGTGGGAACAGGGGCTTCACAGAAGTGATGAACTTAAAAAGAAGTCCTCAGTGTGCTCCCTAACCCAATGTGACTGGTGTCCATAGGAAGACATCTGGATACAGACAGGAACAGATGGAAGGCACCATGGAGACACAGTGAGAAGACAGCCATCTACAAGCCAAGGTGGGAAGCGTGGAACAGAGTCCATGACATCCTGTCCTCAGACTTCCAGCCTCCAGTCCACGAAACAAGATAACACTTGTTGTTCCAACCACTCAGGTAGTGGTATTCGATGACTGCAGCCCTAGCCAACTGGCACACGTGGCTTCCTTTACACAGTGTGATGAGGAGAAACAAAGTTATGATCGAAACTCAGGTTTCCAGACTCCAAGAGCATTCCCACCTCATGACACTGCCTTGCAACCAAGTCCCCGTTTCACTCAAAGTCCTCTCCCACAAAAATCTCACTGTGCTTCCTCGTAAGGACCATGATAAATAAACACTGCTTATGTTAACTTTTTTGTGAGCTATACTCTCATATCACCAACAGGGCATTTTCATACAGATTGTCTCATGAACTCAAAATATCAAAAATTGAGATCAAACAATCCAAAAAGTTAGTAACAACACTGTTTTGTGGAATTTAGTAAGATCTGGGTATAAGATCCAATTCCTTAGACAAGGCATCTAATCTTTCTGAGACTCAACTCTACATTTGTAATACACATTCTATAAACAATTCAAATTTTATGAAATAGAAAAATAAGACCCTCTACAAAGGACTAATTTAAAGATTAAATTGGATAATTTAAGTCCTTGCAAGTTATAAAATATTAAAAACAACTCTCCATGCAATCACAAAGTATTTTTATCTCTGGCAACATTTTTCACTCATTCAAATACAAAAACATTGATATTTCTCTCATATAATCTATAATCAATAATTTTCACAGCTCTGCCATTTCGTTCTCTGTATCATTTTTGTCCTTGCCTTAAAACAAACTCATAATTTCAAACTTGTACTACTTTGAAATTTTGTTATTGTTATTGTTTTATTTAATTTAGAAGGCAGACGGATGAGGTGGAGGGGGTAGAGGGAATCTTCCATCCACTGGTTCACTCCCCAAAGGACCACAACAGCTAGGGATGGGCCAGGCAGAAGTCAGGAGTGAGGAATACCATCTGAGTCTGTATGTGGGTGGCTGTTCTTGGGCCACCACTCACTGCCTCCTAGGTACATTTGCAGGAAGTTAGATCTGATACAGAGGAAGGGCTCATCCCAGACACTAATAAGGAATGTGAGCATTTTAATTGGCAGCTTAACTCACTGAAACACACACCTGCCCCAAAACTTGCACTCATGACTTTGAAAGACTGATTTATCAGTTTCCAATCTCTTCTTTATTTCTTTTAGGTCCTGTCCTAATATTGAATTTCTCTTCCTAGAATATCCAGTTCAAAAGTCTTCAGCAGCTCTCCTAATCCACAGGACAAGGTCACAACTACACAGGCCTGAATTTTTTCTGCTGCATAATTACAGTCAAGGTTAGGTCCTAAGCACATCCCAAGGTTTGGAATAAAGTCATGTTGCCAGTCAAACCCAGACCTCAGTGTTCCAAAGATTCACTGTATTCCCTGCTTCCTGTGTTGACCTAGGCCTACTCTTTAAGGTACCCAGAGGCCTTGCCTTATACCTACCTAGTCAACATGAACAAAGAGATCATCAAAATTTTCAACTTGACCCTATTTGATTCTACTCTGAACTTCCAACTTAGAGACCCACTTGCTTCTATACTGGATTCTCTAATATCATTACTAACTTGGCCTTAACCTTGGATTTACTCATTAACAAGGCTAGGCTGTCTAATTCTAGTGTATACCCAGCATACTAGGAAGCATGGCTGATGGCCAGTTTCATTTTCCTCCTGTTTTCCTATTGGCCTAGCATTTCTTATCTATTTTCTCACATTCAGGGCCTACTATAATCAAACTCAATAGCACTCAACCTTGCCTTCCTACACAGCTCAAGAGGAACGTTCTGTTCCATCTCAGCCAATCGTTTTCAATCCCGTTGTGCTAAATATCCTTGTTAGATAACACATGTTTTTACTACTTTTTCCTGCCTTTACAACTATTAAATGAAAATCACACATAATAGCATATATATATATACACACATAATTTTGAATATACAAATACACACAAGGAGCTTCAAAAAGTTCATGAGAAAACCAAATTAAAAGACAGTGCACATTTTTCATGAATTTTTGAGGCCCCTTGAAATTTCAAATATGTCAATCTATGAGTAACTGAAATCCTTCAGAGTGGCATCTTCAAAAATACACAAAATTGCATATAATGAAAAAATATGCATGGATTTCAACATTTTTGCACCAAAATAAACTTTTTTTCCTCTCAATTTTAGAGACACAGACAGAGGTCCCATCCACTAGTTCACTCCCTAAATGCCCACAAACACCAGGGTGGGGACTGGCCAGACCTGGGCAAAAGGAACATGACTCAGGTCTTCCATGTGGGTGGCAGGAATCCAATTACTTGAGCCGTCACCACCACGTCACAGGACCTGCACTGGTAGAAAGCTGGAGTCAGGAGCCTAAGCAAGGAATTGAACCCCAGCAGCAATAACGCCTTCAATGGAAAAATAAACTGAGGTCTATGTCAAGGTAACCTGAATTTTTAGATATGATAGACGTGATACCACTTATCCTAAAAGCTATGAAAACAGAACTAAAATAAATCCCCATGAGTAAAAGAAGGCATTTTATTCATAAAGAAATATTTTATGTGGAAATTAATAAAGCAAAAGACAAATCAATTTTAGTTCACAAAAATTAAAATATTACTATGTTGCAAATAAGTACATATTGAAAGGAATTTTTAGAAAAATGACAGAGTGGAAGCAAACAACATGACATTAAGGTCCCCAATAAATAAAGAATCTTTACATGTCAATAAGAAAAAAATAGAAAAGTGTAAACAATAGAAACAAAATAAAGGACAAAGGAGAAATGCAAATGACTGACTGTGTACCCCAGCTGCACCCTCATTGCACAGCAGCTTTCCCCCACAGCTGAGCACACAGCAGGACGGTCTTGTTTATTGAACATTATTTCAGATGACTGTGAGATGTACAGATTTGTACATTTCAACTTACATATTCCCAAGAGAATTTTAAAACCCAGCATATTCAGAGGTGTATAATATTTAAAAGGCTAGGAGCATAAGACAAACATGAAAACAAAGATAACCAGTAAAACTGCCCACCTTCCCTGATAGCCGTGAAAGGTGTACCTTCTTCTTCCTGCAGCCTGATCACCTTCAGGGCTACCAACTTCCCATTTACTCTGCAAGAAATGAAAGAAAAAATCAACAGTGCAAATACGTATGTGCCCATTGTGGTTCTAACTGTCTTCCTTCCAATTTATATTGTATACACGTTTGTACTGAAAATGTCAGTGACTCAATTACCCGGTACAGCAAGGTTAATTTCAGTAAGGCTGGGAATTCTGTATCATCATCATAAATGTTCACATTTTAAATACTCATACTTCCATAGGCCTAGATTGAATCAGTTTCTTTTGTGATTCACTCTGTTCCTTCCAGAATGGAACTAGTGTTTAACAAAATCACCATGCTTGACGACTATCCTCAAATTAATTAAAAATCAAGCAGTTGAAATAATTCTTTTCCTTTGTATTTCTAATAGCTCCACCATTGTTTTCTTTTGCTGAATGTCTTCATCTTCAGTCTTTAGCTGAGGTCATTCAAACCCCAAAGGCAGAAACTTGATGCTGAGCCTTCTTTTTTCTCCACACCCATTTGCTTCTTTTTTCCTATTTTTTATGAGTCTCCTAAAATTATGTTTTGTCTGTTTTGTATCATATATATCATCAAAAAGAAGTTATGAATATACTATTACAAGATTACACAAGACCTATCCAAAACAGATGGTTCCTCCAGACACATTCTAAATGTGTGTCAGCTCTAATTAAATGTAAGATTGCACCATGGATATAGCTCTTTATCCAGTCGGTTCTTTCAACTTAAAAAGAAGGGATTATGTATGTCTATCTCCTGCTGGAGTGCTCTATATTGTACCTTTACTAGGCTTAGCACTGTACTTTATTTTGTTTGTTAGCAAAAACAGGTTTTTAAAACCACACCTATTAAAAATGCAAAAGATCCAAGATCCTTATTACCATATCTCCCTATAGCCAATCAGTTCCCATCCTCTGAGGTCACCACTTACTATTGTTCATACATATTTTCACATATGTAAACTTTCATGTAAACAAGGAGATTTTTAAAAGTTCAAGGAAAATGGAATTAAAAGTCTGTGTTAGCATAAGAAAAAATGGGGGCCAAAGTTGTGGTGTAGCAGTTAAAGCCACAGTCTGAGATACAGACATCCCATATAGGCACTGGTTCAAGTCCTGAATGCTACACTGACAATCCAGCTCTCTCCTAATGGCCTGGGAAAAGCAGCCAAACATGATCCAAGTGCTTGGGCCACTGCCTCCCATGTGGGACACCCGGATGAAGTTCCTGGCTTCGACCTGGCCTACCCCTGGCCATGGTGGCCATCTGGAAAGTGAACCAGCAGATGGAAGATGTTTCTCCCTCTATGTCTCTCTCTCTCTGTTACTCTGACGTTCAAATAAAGATGCTTGAAAAAAAATACAATGAAAATACATGTACCTCTGAATGTATACAGGAAAACTTCAAAAATTTCATGAAAAATAGAATTAAAAGTCTAAGTGTAAGAAAATCAAAATGTACGTGATAATATATTGATATGCTCTTAGAATTGTATCTACAAATCATATTGACTCTGTTAAAAAACTAATTAAAAATGAAAATAAAAAAAGAAATGAAACCAAAACACTAAAAAAAAGACAATCAAAATATATGTATGGTCAGTTCATAACATACATTTTCATGAAGTTTACATGTAGATGTATTTCAACATTTTTTGCATCAAAATAAACTAATTTTTAATTCTACTTTCCACTAACTTTTTGAAGTCTGTGTGTGTGTGTGTGTGTGACAAATACATAACCACATATATGGAGTACATATACACACATACACAAATGTTAGTGTATAACACTGAGTACAATTTTATCTTGTCACATAATATATTTTGATGACTTCCTTTTAAGTTCATATTAAACTGTCTATTGGTTTTGAAAGGCCATGGGTAATCCTTTGTGTACATGCATTATTTAGTCCCAGTTCTCCACTGATTAGCATCCAACTTATTCCCAACTTTTTGCTACTACAAAGATCTCATGAATATTCCTGTACATGTTAATTTTCCATTAAGATATGTAAGATAATTCCTTAGAGTGGAATTGCAAAGTCAAAAGGTATGCACATTTCTAATTCTAAGTTTGATAAATAATGAAAATTATCCTACAGAAGAAGATTCCAATTCCAAACAACGGGAGCTCTCTTTCCTCCCTTCATTTCCTGTGCTGTACGTTATCAATGGTTGATTTTGCCAATATAATAGGTCAACAATGGTATCTTGTTGCAAATTAAGATGCTACCAAAAAGAACTCATTTGGCCCAGAGAATCCAATGGAAGAGTTTCAAATTTCTAAAACTGTATTTCTCTTTTTTAAAAACTACATCTAGTTGATCTAATTTTGCTCAAACACTGCCATAACCACAAAGCCCAAAGGCTGAGGAACTGATCACAGTCCAGCCATCCAAGTGGCATTTCTCATTTAATTAACTGCTGAGACACATTACTGGTTATATGAAGTGGGAAAGGACAATTGGATGTAAGGTTCCACAGTGTGCTCCCTCCTCAAGGCTGGAAGTCACTGTATTCATCATTCCTTGTGTTTCAGCTGCAAGGGCTAGCCTGCTGCATTTTTGCTACGCAATCCCTTCTCCTGAGTGTGTTACCTTGATTTTTCCAAACGTGTTTGTGCGCTTGGTACCCAGGTGCAGTCAGGAAATTACTGTGCATGGAGTCCAGCTGGAGACTGCACCTTGTGTTCTTCACCTTGTCCTTTAGGACGAGGGGAGGCCTCTGGCAAGCCTTGGGGCTGGGATGCAGTCAGCGCTGACATCTGCATGGATCTTTTTTTCAACCCAGTTGAGCTCATCATTGGCTCCCCAAGGAGGCAGTGACTGATTCCAGGAACTGCATGTAATTTTCCCTTCATTTACAGATATTTCCCCCTCACCCATAAAACACACCTTCTCACAGAGCTTTCTGTTTCCCTTGAGAGCATTAACTCCCATGCACCGTGGACTGAGTTCTGGAATCCTGGGGCATTGTGTTTCTGAAGATTGTGTGCCTAAAACACACTCAGGCCAGTGTGTTACACTATTGCCCTGAAACACACTGGAAACAGACAAGCCTGTGAGTCTACAACTAAAGATGAACCCCAAGTAATCTCATGGCCTCTTCTGTGTTGTTTTTCTGGAGAAAAAAAATTCTGAACAAATGTTCTATGACAACTACATCAAGGAATAACTCCCAGATTCAGGGAATTCTGATTCTGAATCCGTCCTGAATTGAACCTCCAAGTGTTAGGTTTTTTAGGTTTCTGATCATCACAACAGTTAATGACAATAGGGTTTTATATTACTACATCATAGGAAGCTAAAAATTTCCTTAAATTTTATACTATACAGTAAGCTCCAGAAATGAAGGGTCTTTTTCTGTTTTCTTAATGAATCAATGTCCAGTAACCAGAACCTTCCTGGCATACAGCAGGTTCTCAAAAAGTCTTACTAAATAAATACTGACATCATGAATCTCTTGACATTTTCCTCACATACAGGCAAATTAGTTGAAGCATGAAAATGATTGTTATTAAACATTTCAGAAATACAAAAATTCTATAAAACTTTCAATATCTTATTTCATGTTTGGTTTAAATATTCATTTTCTTTTCTTTTTCAGATTAAAGGCACAGTTTGTTTTAAATACAGAAAAGTGCTCATTTCCTTGAAATTCTAGAATCTGAAGAATGCTTTATTAATTAACCTTTTTGCACCCAACAGACATGCTTCAAAACACGCACCCTCCTTTAATCATCTCAGCACAGATCGCCACTCACCACCTCCCTCTTTTCCGCTTCATTGGTTCTCCACTCAGAATCACACTGATTATCAAACTGCTCTGTAACCTAAGAGTCACTGTGATTTTTCTCCTTTCTTAATTAGTTTTGCCTAAATACCCAGACACTAAGCAAGTGCTGAACCTTTCTGTTTTAAAGCCTAATATAAAATGCTAAGTCACTGGCTCCAACTTTCAGAAAAGGTAACTCTGGGAAAAAATGACATCATGAAATTTTCTAATGTTCTCTCTCTGTCATGCATATACATTCTAAGCTTTAGAGTGGTCTGAATACTTAAAATTCTAGATGACTGGCTCATTTTTTAAATTTCAGCTTTTAAAATTATCAAAAGAACATCCCCGTTATTCTGTGAAAAACAAGATGACATTGTATCTTCTAATTATCTTGTAGGTTTAAGTTATTTTATGAAGGCTCAAAACTCACATCAAACATTGATTTAAATAACTTTAAATAATTACAAAATTCAAGTTGAATCAATAAATTAGAGCTGTTTACAGGAAAATATTGAAGATTCCTCTCTAACAAGTCTTATTAATTAAATGAAAATCTAATGAATAGAAGGCAATCAGGCTTGATTGCCAGGAGTGATATTAATTCAGTTGAACAGCATGGTGGGAAAAGTGCTTTAAACTGTGTTAATATTACCAAAGAACATTCTACTGAAGATAGGGCCAAATACACCTCTATTGCTCTAAGCTCTATAGAGAGCTGTTTTATTTCTGAGCTTATTTCTTCTCTCATTCTTGCAGCAGCTGACATCCCCGGCTTGACCTTACTGTGAGGTTCACTTCAGGCCCCAGGATGAGCGGCTCAGTGCCCCAGTCTGCCCATCACACTGGACAAGCCAGCAAGTGCAGCCCAGGGGAAAGCTGCATCCTTGGCTGCATGCAGAGAAACAAGGGAACAAAGGGGGGTTGGGCGGAGCCATGCTGCAGAGGGAGTCAGCCAGTCTCTGCCAACTTCAGACACTCTGCACAATGCTGTGTGTCATAAATTTATAGATACAAAATTATCTATGAGGGTGAAGCAAGTTTTAGAAGCTTGAGTGAAGAAAATACCTATTCACTTTTTCTTAATCCATTTGTTTGCTCATTTAATGTTGTGCAGTTTCAAAAAACTATGCTCAAAGAGAATTTCCTTATGGACAAACAATTCTCAGAGGAGAGTCTACAGGTTTCTATTCCACTAGTTACCTCAAATTAATAGGATAACCGAGTATAATAAATCAAAATTGCAAATAT